CTGCTTTTTGCAAAGGAGGGAAAAAACTTTCATCATTAATGGTTTCCCACTGCCTAGAGAATGTCTAAACTCTGTAGCTCCAACTTACCCCTTTTAGTCTTTGTTCCCCTATTTCTTGAACTCAAACAAAAGAAATTGTTCCCTCTTCCATAAATAATCATGCAGTTTCTCACCTTTGGGCCTTGGCTCAGATTTCTGTCTGGCAAAATCCTACCACCTTTCAATGTCACCTCTTTGGAGTCTTCTCTGATTCACTCCCAGAGAGAAAATAATTCCTTTTTTTTCTCTCTTCCAATAAAACCTTTTCAAACTGCTAACACAGCATTTAGTACTTGTGTGCCTGTCTTCTCGCACTGACTGAATTCTAGGTAAAAAAATATGCATCTAGAATAGTGTGCAGCACAAGGTACGATTATATAATCAATAAATATTGATTTTAAATGAATACATGACTATGCAAATATCCAAACATTAAAAGAAGAAAACTTTGCTCAACAAGATAAACAAGTGACAAGAATGAAAAAAGACATAAAAGAAAAATAACTGATTAAAACAAAAACAAAAAATTTATTTTATACATGCTTATATTTGCATAGAAAACAGGAGGAATTTATAAAATTCCTAAGAGTGGTTGCTGTGGAGAGGGAGGCTGGGTGTCTGGGTTGAGAACAAGATTAATTTTATTTTACAATCTTTTATGCTATCAAAAATTTTGCCACACCAAGGTATTTAATAATGATTAAAAATGTTGACTACAAAGATTATGAAGGAGCATGGAAAATATGTCAGTTAGGTGTTTAAAAAAAAGAATGACAAATTAAAAAATATCTGGAGTTATGTAAGAACTAGAAGAAAAATGTGAAAAAGGGTAAAAGCTTATGATTTAATATGCAAAGAATTGGCTCAAATAAATACACTACGATTATTTTTATTTGCAGTTTTTCTAGGTTCATTTCCCCTAACTTCCTCTAAAATATATGCTATGAATTACAGACATTAGACTATAGATGAGAAAGAAAACAGACTGAATAAAAAAAAACAACAAGGTGGGTTAAACTTCCTTTGTGATTGATTTAAGTACTGTTTTGTTGTGTTTATTTTTTAAATGTCATCAAATTTTTATTTAAAACATTTTATCAGTGATATTTTTGCTACTACATCCCTGTAGTAAAAAGTGGTCGGTGAGCAATACCAAGCACTAGAAACTTGCATTGATTTTAAGTATGGGAATTAGTTTTGTAAATAAATGTAGCCTTTCGCACTCAAAATATTAAATTAAAAAAAAAAATTTTAAGGTAGTCCCTAAAAGCTGACTCCTTCTCATGTTTTAGGTCTCAGCTCAAATGTTACCTACTCAGAGAAACCTTTCCTGATGCACCCAGAGAAGCCCCTCTCCATATACATGTATCACAAACTGAAATAATCATGTTTATTCTTTGTTTTCATATTTGCTATTATTCCACATTGAATGCAAGCTTTCAAAAGGCTGGAAACTTGTCTGCCATCTATTGCTGTATTCCTATAGGAAATTCAATAATATTTGTTGAATAAATAGGGGACTTTAGGTAGCAAAGAATGGGGGGGAAATCATAAAATTGATCTGTTTACTGTTAACAAGCATTGCTATCCATTGCATTCTGTTAGGGGCTGTTCTGAATTTAAAGCTCCAGAAGACCCAAGAGTGGAACCACCTTCAAGAAGCTTACCCACAGACTCACCTCAGGCAGTAGTGAGAAGTGCCATTTGAGAAGGATAAACTAAAAGCTACAGAAATAGAAGAGGCTAGGTTAAAATGACAGGCCACTATGGAGGTAGTAGTCCCATTTGAGCAGAGGCTTGAAGGCTGACTGAACTTTGAATAGGTGAAGAATGGGGTGAGGGGAGCATTTTAGACAGAGGAATTGGCATCCAAATGGGAAGTAGATTTTGAGAAGAGTAAATAGTACAGACTAGCTGAACATCAAAATTACACGAAAGAACAGGAGAACAAGGCAAGTTGGGGCCAGGATACAAGTCTTCAAAAGCAGACTGTTTGAAATGATCTTTAGGCAACCGGGGGTGGGGGTGGGGGTGGGGGAGTCTCTGCAATTCTGCAGGCAGATCAGCCCAATCATAGCACAGTAGTGTTACAGGAAAATTATTCTAGCAGTTTTTGGCCAGGTGGACTAGAGTGAGACAGAACAGCTTGGAGGCTCAGTTCTTATGAGGCTACTGCAACAGACTGGGCATAAGATAAGGCTCTGAATTAAGGTTTAAACATTATAGAAAGTCACAGAGAAGTCACACATTAACTGCAGCCAAAAGACCTGGGTCTGAATACTAAGTCTATATTTAATAGCTGTATCAGGCTTTTAAAAAAAAAATAGCTTGAGATATAATCTGCACTGCACCTACAGTTGACTCTTGAAAAACGTGGGGGTTAGGGACACCACCCCACTTAGTTAAAAATCTACATTAACTTTTGACTCCCCAAAAACATAACTATTACAGTTGTCCCTCAGTATATGTGGGGGTTGGTTCCAGGATGGCTCTACCCCACACATGGATACCAAAAGCCACAGATGCTCAGGTCCCCTATACAAAATGGGGTAGATCAATGGATATGCTCAGCTCTCTGTATCCACACTCTCAACCCCAGATCAAAAACAGCACAGATATTTATTGAAAAAAATCTATGTATAAGTAGACCCAGGCAACTCAAACTCATGTTGTTCAAGGGTCAACTGTAATTGACCAAACTGTTACAATTAAATGGCTTTCAGTATATTCAGTTGTGCATCCATCACCACAATCAATTTTAGAACATTTTCATTACTCCAAAAGGAAACCGTTCCCCTTGGCCAACATCCCCAAATCTCCGCATCTCACCCCACCCCGCCAAGTAGGTAATAACTAATTTACTTTTTGTCTCTATAGATGTGTCCATTCTGGACATTTAATATAAATGGAGTCATAAAATATGTGGTTCTTTCTGACTGGCTTCTTTCATTTGACATAATTTCTTCAAGGGTCATCAATATTGTGGCATGTATCAGTATGCCATTCCTTCTTGTGGCCTAATAATATTCCATTGTGTGGACACACCACATGTTATCTATTCATGGACATTCAGCTGTTTTGAGTTTTTGATATTTTGAATAATGCAGCTATAATAATAGCTGTATCAGTTTTAACATCTGTGAAATAGAGATAATTCTCATTAAGTTTTAATATATGTAAAGAGTGCCTAGAACAGTGTAAATCTTCAAAAAACATTAGTTCCCTTCTCCCTACTTTTTGGGAAATTCAAGGTTATTTAGTTTTCTACCCTGACCGAACTGTACTACTTTCAATCTAACAAAACCTTTTTCCCAGTTAAACAAGATTTTCCTACCTTTTAGGAGATTGCGTCATTTCTTTCACTGTCCTCTTTTCCTAACAGATCTCAGATGCTCCCCCCTCTCTCTCCCTCTCCCTCTCCACTTTACTCACTAACTGTTCAATGAATTTCATCTTGTCATTTGGTTATGTTTCTATTTACACAAAGATTCAAAGAACTATTTTTTAACCCTTATATCTCTTTCCTTCCATTCAGTCTCCTGTCTTCTTTGTCTTACTGGATATCCTGGTGCTACCTCAAGTTAACAGCACAAGACGGAAATTTTGCTATTGCTAAACTCTCCCTCTGTTGCCTAGTTTCCATGCTATCAAGACTGACATTACTATCATTGACCTTTTTTTCTGATAAATGCTGATGCTACACACACACACACACACACACACACACACAGACATATCTTGGAAATTATTGATAAATACAATTCGTTACCCATTTTCATATAAATGTATTTAAATGCCATTGTGATTTTAGAACATTACCATATCTTAGAAGTCATCCATGTAAATCTTGAAAAACAAAATGACCTTATAATTATTCAATTTTTAAAAAGATGTTTTTGCAACTTTTTTTTTTCCCTTCTATTTATACACTTGTTTTTAGTACCTGGTATGTTAAGCAATATGCCAATTACTAATTTGGAGTTTTAATTTACACAAAGAGCTCTGTAACTCCCAGAATTTTAACTCAGTCATTTCTGTACTTTGCTCAACAAACTGGAGTCAGAAATGTTAATTAGATGTTACTCCCTTTTCCACTACTAGACCATAATTACTTTGAACCCAGCAATGCCAAACAATGATGGTTCTTCCTGTTTGGTGATTTCATTCCTTCTCTAACCTGGCAGACTTAGGTTTGGAGAGACTTTTATGGAAGTCAGATGATATAGCAGAATGGCAGAATATCAGTAACCAGTAAGTAGTAGAGTCCTAACAGCGGGCAGTGGCCCGGACAGTGTAAAGGGAGAGGTAAAGGTGCAGGTTGGCCCAGAGATTTAATCGTTCCAGTGGTCCCTTCTCAAAAACTCTTTAGAAAGTGGGCTCCTTTAGGAATAGAGGAAGAAGGTGTTTTAAAATTAACAGTGAGGTGGGTTTTGGAGTTTTTTTGTTTTTTTAAAGGACAGACATTGAAAAGTTTGGTTGTAAAATCCTCCTTGGTACTAACACGAATAAGCAGAATAAGCAGTCTTCGGAAACTCATGCGTGGAGAGAGGGGAGGGGCGGGATAAAGGAACGCAGTCCTCAGACTGTCTCGGGTGGAGACATCACCGACTGGTGCGGCCGCGGAGGAGCGTGGGGAGCACGGCCGAGGATACGCGCAGGGGCCGCGGGACGAAACGCCGGGCGGGGGACCGCTCACCCAGGCGGGGGTTCTGGCCAGAGCCGGCAAAGGCGTAGACGTGAGCGAGAAGGCCGCGTCCTCCCGACCCCACCCATCCCTGGTGCTGGCAAGAAATAGGGCTGGGAAGGGAAGGAGGAAGAAGTCCTAACTGGGACGCGGGTCCCAAAGCAACAAGTGCCCGCGGCGGCTCCCTAGGAGACTGCTGGTCCGGGGCAGGAAAGCAAGGCCCGGCGCGGCGGCCTCCAGGCCTTCTCTCTCTCAGCCCCTGCCCCACCGCACTCACTCTGCCACACGACGCTCTTCAGCCCCCTTTCCGTCACCAGCGGCGCCATCTTCCCAACACCGGGGAGGAGCAGCCGCCGCCTCCCTTTCGCAGCCTATTTCAGCTGTGGGAGAGCTGCTCCGGGAAGCCCCGCCCACGGGCCGCGCCCTCTGCTGACGTCATGCGCGTCTGCACGGGAATTTCCGCCCACCCCTGAATGGAGGCTGCGCGGTGCAGATGGACTCTACATGGGCGGTCGCGCGCCCCCTAGCGGGAGAGTGGCTCACCGAAAGTTCGACGTCCTGTGACGTCAGAAAGCGAAATCGTGTACTGATTGTGAGCTAACGTGATCTAATAAATTACGGTTTCAGTCATGCGGTACATCAAGAAGGGAGAGATCCTTCGCTTTACAAAAGAATTCTTCACTTTACAAAGCGATTTACAATACGCTTCACGTATTTACAATACGCCAGTGCGACAGCCAAATGTAAAATTTACCCTCCAAAAGTTTTATTCATTTTTCAAGGATATAATAATTGTGTAGAACTATGAGGTATACCTCCAGTGTATCTAATAC